CACAGAAGAAGGCAATGGCAAACCGCTTCTGGATCATCTGCCAAGAACGTATATGAACAGGTCCCAGTCCGAGAAAAGGATGGAAGGATCCTGTTCATATGGACCTGTCGTCAGACAGAACACTAAATAATAATAATAATAATAACACAGACTAAATTCTGAAACAATTTTGGAAAGTCTAAGACATATGCACTAACGCTTAATTTAATTTATAACCATACATCACCGTACGGCCCAATTTTCGATTCCACCTCAGACGTTTGTTTGTCCGCCATGTTAGTATTGCCGATTGTAGGCTTAGCCCCATTGACATAACGTCCATACCAAATTCCGTTCAAATCCGACCAGCGGTTCACGAGTTGAATCATGCGGACAGACAGACGGACATCGTGAAAAGAACGCATAATTGCAAACGGCGTTTTCCGTTCATAAAAGCGAGGAGAAAATAATGAACGAACGCACAGTGCAGTGCTAATTAGAGGTTAATGAACAAGTTTAACTGTAGCTACGGTGTGATTTCATTTGTTCGACACATAATTGCTGTATGTAGTCACCCACTGTGAAAACATTAACAGTGGATGATTAATTTGATAACCTCAAAAATCCCCTTCCTTTGTGCACTTCAACAGATTTTTAAATTATGATCGAAGTTTCAACATATTTATTAATCGATCACAGTTAAAAACAATAATTGAAACATTCGCGTAATAACGAGACAAGTCCATCTTTGCAAGTTTCGAGAAAATTATATGAACCGTCAAAGAATTCCTAACAGTAATAACGAGGCAAGTCCATCTTTGCAAGTTTCGAGAATATTATATGAACCGTCAAAGAATTCCTAATTTTAACCGAATCATTGAATGACTGCAAATAAATCATTTATACAATACTCTTATTTTGTATAAGATACATTATAAATACAGTGTTTCATCTTTTGAAGCCGGAGATCGTCTAAATAATATTTAAGAATTTAGTCCTTACCGCAAAGAAAACACAACTCTTCTCCATTACAAGGATCAACTGGTTAATGCTGTTTGGGGGAAATAATTATTATTTACAGTGAGGTTCGTTTGAAACCACAAGTAAAATGTTGGTGTACTCCAAAGAGTACGCCTTTCTAGCATTGTTCAGCAATGATCCTTTCGTAAACAATTTTTTCTAAGCCGTTGATAACGTCGTTAAATAAAACATAAATAAATCGCACGGCTTAGAATTAGAACTCACACCAAGATTGTTGGTCTCGTAATTTAATTTAATTTAATTTGAATTAAATAGATCTCAGGTGGTAGAAATGCAGATAGTGTACCAGGGTACTGCATAATTAAAGGGCAGACACACCCATTCAGCCATGCGATTAGAACAAGAAGGGTTATTCGTTAATTACAACGTGAAAGAGTTGAAAGCAAATATCCCACTTCGCTTATAATAAATTTACCTTCATTCTTTTAAACT